GCCAAAAGATTCTTTAAAATATTCTCCAGATCATGACTCCCTTCGTTTTTTCAATTTTGAGACAGTTTTGCAGCAAAAAGATAAATTTCTTTATTTCGCCGATCGCTTTTGTAGGCCGATGCTTCTGTCTCTGTAATTTTAGAAAATCTGCCAGGTTTGTTTATTTAAAGTCGTACTTCCATTCGATACTATCGCGCATTGTCGTGCAATACTGAGCACTATTTTAAGTGTGCGACCCGTATAGATCTAGCCTCATGTTTTCTTTTTTTTACCAATGACTTTCAGTTGTCAATGCACCGATCATTCCTTTCATCGAAAGGGGGCCCAGCTAGTTTCATTATAAAAGGCAAGGCTTTTTTTTTACTGTCACTCCCATCTCATGCTCATAGGTATATTGTATATAGCACTTTTTCTTGTTCACTTTTATTCGTTTTTCACGAATTGAATATATATGCATCCAAAATTATTATGAGCGTCAGCGATATTGATGTTTTAATTTGAATGATATTACACTTAATAATGTAGAAATATTACCCGCACATAGGTATGTGGTGGTTATTTATGGCTTAAAATTCTTGCATTTCTTGTTCTTCAGATTACTTAGCTACAAAGCAATATTTTATCAAAATGAAATGCCAAAGAATGGGTGATTTCTTAATGGCAACACAGTGTCCTTCCCAGGGGCGAAGGCTGACCTGTTTGACAGGGTAATCAAAGTGAAATGGGACCAGATATGGCCTGTAGATATCACACAAAAATCTTACTCGAGGCGGCGACTCTGAGTTGTGAATGAAAACAAATCCGGATTTCATATTGTATGTTCAACCGCCAAAATAATCGGGAAAGTATCTTATTAAATATCAGTTCCCACTAAAATTAAACTTAACTTTAGATGTGAATACATAAACACAAAGCAAAGAAGCAGAGATGTCAGTACTAGACAAAATGACCATTGTTTGCATACACAGTACAAGTATAGACTAGTTTCTAACCTTGTTATACTTAGAATCTATACACCTCAACCACATTGGCCTTGAGATGAGCATGAAGCTGGTACCAGGTTGTAAAATTACTAGATTCCAGTATTATAACTTTAAACTGGGCTCTAAAACTACGAAGTGACTATTTCTCCGAACGGTTTCCGTTCTCTGGATTTTTAGGTTATTTGCGAGATTTAGGCGTCATCTTTCATTCTGCCATTCTGCGAGGACTGGGAAGAAGTATTTTTTGCATCGAAGTCAATTTCTAGAGCTAGGGCTAAAGATTTTAAAATGTCTCAACAATATTCAGATACTTCAGTTGTGGTTGGGGCAACGTTCCCGGACTATATTTCATTTGAAAATGCCTTCAAAAGGTACTGCGAGAAGTCACCTCTAAAGCAAACATTAAAATCCTTCAAGACACTAAGTAATCAAAAATAAAATCCCTCCACC